TGACAACTAAGTGATAACAGGAAAGCCAGTGCTGCCAGGTTTCTTCTCTTTTTCACAGGCTGGAGTGATGGCTTCCTCCTTTCAAACTTTTTTCTGTTAAGATGAGAACATTCTGTCTAAAACAAGCTGTGCATGAAGTTTTAGTGGTATCTTATGCAGTACGTAGAGATATTAAATGTAGCATTGGAGATAATGATCTGAATAGCGAGGAGATCTTTGCACAGCTGTGGGGGTTCTTTCTTACTACATCGCCCACTAATTATCCTTCTTGCCTGCGAACAATGGAAAGTAAGCAACTGGACCTTATATCTTATTGTATCTTAAAATTAGTATCTTAAATTGGGCATCTTAATTGGACATCTTTTAGCTAGAATGATGCTTTGCACGCCATAATTCAAAAAGAGGAAGTTACCCCTACACCATGACTTGATTTATCACAGAACAATTGGATTGGGTTTTTTTCCTCTGTCATAGTGCTCGTCAGCAAACTCTGCATTTTAGTTTCTGAGTTAGAATAGTGCTTAGTCCTACACAAAAGTTAAAGTACTAAAGTTATAATACCTGATCATAGAATCGTAGACACTTGCTTAGCAGGCAAAGACAAAGTAATGTTGCAGGAAAAATAAGGCTGGAGAAAACGGGATCAGTTTTCTGATTCCTGTCTCGTTCTTCAAGTTTATCAGTAGGAGAGCCAGAAAATGATGTTGGTGGGCAAGCAAGGTGATTTCCTATCCCATTTGAACACCCCAACTTGATGTACAGCTGCACAGGCTTTAATTTAAAGAGTAATGCTGATTTTTCAGTGAAGAACAAAGTGCAAGTCTCTATATATGTTATTCAAAACAGTGCTATTAGAAGAAAGTAGCTTAATTGTGACAGATTTTAGCAAACAGTGCTGGTTATCCTGCAGAAAGCAATCAAATATCTTGTCTCACAGAGTCTCACGGATTATACAGACTTGTGAGGGTAAATATTGGACAATAGGCTATATTAGGCTATAGTTATATGTATAGAAGACAGATTTTTCAGTTGATTGTCTGGGATCATACAGGCTCCTGGCTTTCGTGTCTGGAGGAGACCTGTCCTGGATGCAGATCTCAGGGTTGTCTGTGGGGCCCAGTGGGTGCTTGGGGCAGCACAGTAATTTTGATGCTAGTAGCTGGGAAGGCAGGTCACACAGAGAAAGGTGGGGTGTTGGAAGAGTTGGGAGGTGATTTTTTGTGGGGAGTTCTGGGAGATTGGGGTCCTTTCTGGGGTTGGAGGAGGTGTTAAAGAGTGTGGAGGGGCTTTGGGTGTGGGAGATTAAGGTCTGTCTTAGGAAGGCAAAGAGTAAGGGGCATGTGGCGAGAGAGCAAGGGGATGTGGGGAGCTGGTAGCATTGCTGGTGAAGAGCAGAGGAAGAGCTACTGCAGAGGCAGGAAAGAGCTGCCTTGTTGTATGGATGAATCAAAGCCTCTAAAAGCCTGTGCGCTGACTCAAGCTGAGATGCTTTGTCTGGGCTGTCCATCCCAGTTGTTTCTCAGGCTTGTACATAACACTGCAAATAAATGGCTCAAACTGTGAAATATTGCAGCTTTAAGCCTGCAATATTTCTACCTTTAAGGTAAGTTTTACTATTCAGAGGATCATAGGTAAGAATTAGTGAGGTAATAAGGCTGCCTCACACATAACTGCTCAGTTGTTGGCGATGGGGTGAAAGTCATGGCAGTATCATCAAGGTGCAGATGCTTTGCCTTTAGCTACACAAAATGTTAGCAAGGGTGGGTTGCAAAACAGCCGGAGTGGAGCAGTGTAAAGACAGATCCAGTTCCTCTTAGAATTGGACTCAGAGCTCCCCTGGACTGCTACAGTGGTCAGGCCAAGACCACAGTCCTGTCAGTACTGTCCTGGGGATATAAACTAATGTGTAGGAGTGCCGTCCTTTGTCAGGACTTTTCCGCATCGTGCAGAAAGGCAGTGTGTCCCAGGGAAAGCAAATGCCACGCGGCAGGGAGGGATATTGTGCGTCCTTGATTCACCCAGCAGAGGGCTCCCCTTCTAAGCTAATAAAAATCAGGCTTTATCCCTGATCTAACAGAAAGTAAAATGCTTGGTTAACCACCGTACTCTGGAATGCTCTGTTGGTTTAAGTTCTGACGCTAGCCTGTGCTTTATGTTTCTTGATACCTGATTGGAAGTATTTGATAAAAGCTACTAGAATTCTTTACAGATTGATCCGTGCATGTGTGTGTTTTTGCATGTAAGTATGTGTAACACACATGAAAGCATATCAAATCTGATCAGTTCTTTTCCTGCTTTAGACATAGAAAAAAATGTGTTTTCTTGATAGCAGAACACTGTGAGTGTAACTTCAAGTAATAATTTGCTGCAGATTAAATGTACACCAGTGAAGGTTTCAAAATTTAAATAAAAAGTTAAGACAGGGCAATATTTAAAAATACGAGTGTGTGCATCCCAGTATCTTTTTTTTGACAAGACACTTGATTCCCTTCTGCAGGATAACTAGGAACTCATTGTCTCTGCATGGATACCTGTGCTTTTTAAAAAAGATTAAAAAATTCAGTGAGCCTGGGTTGTCTTTTCTCCTTTCCGAATATGCTTCTGTATTGTGGCCCTATAAACCAAGAAGTTTTCTCAACCCCTTCCACAATTTTAACAGTAAAGAGGCATATCAGCTACAGTCTGAAGTTGGATTTGTTCAGAAACACAGGTTTACATCTCCACTTGGACTTTGCTGCTTTAAATCATATTTAGAACAGCAAATTGTTCAACTAGACAAACGCTAAAACTACAGAAGCAAGGGATTGTTATAGGTGAAGCTGATCAATCAACTGCAAAACATCAAAAATATACTGCAGATATTTGGGATTTCATTATTAGGTGCAAGTGATGTTTTGCAGCATTAGGAGTATTTCAGTAGGTGAAGTATTAGGAAGGCAAAAATTTCTATGCTATTTGACTGCCATAACAAGCAACAAGATCTGAAACAACACAGCTATTAGAAATTCTCACTGTTTGCAACAAGTGGGAGGAAAATATTAATCCCCTTCTCTCTTTCTTTGAATGTGTCTGCTTCTCCTTTCTACTTAAATTTATTTCCACATGGAAGTTTATCTGGCAAAGAAGGCAAAGGGGAGCAAGCTTTTCAGTTGCTGGTCTGTTCTTTTAGCAAGTTTAGTCTCCACCAAACACTAAAGCAAGGAAAATAAAAATTTGACCTAAAGCTCTCCCTCTTCACTGTTGCCTTCCCAAGAAATGAACAATCCTACCTACTGGAAAACACCATGGATACAGATAGGTGTTTTTTGTAGTATTTTTACTTTACAGGAAATAGGTAAAAAGCCTCACAGCGTCAGACTAGAGATCTTGAAGCAGCACCAGTATTTGTGATACAGCACAAGTGTGTAGGAGGGGATGCTGTACTTGCAAGCAGGCTCTTTTGCTTGCACAGGGCTGCTCTGAGAGATGCAGCTCTTTTCAAGGATAATTTTTATCCTCTTTTCTACCCCCCTACCCCCCCAGTTAGGCACTTCCTGTGTTTGGCTGTTCATGGTGCTTTTCTCGTCTTCAATACTGAGTGCAGCAGATAGTGCTAGAGACTATTTTAAGGCCTCTTACAATGGTCTTCTCATTTACTTAGCTAAAATGAGAAAGTTAGTCCTTCACTGGCCACTTGTTAGCAGATGACAACTTTTACTTTGAATCTGGGTCCCCTCCCCCACCTGAAACCCCTGGCTCAGCAAATATTTGAACCTACCCAAGTTAATCATGAAGCTGAGATCTTTATCTGAGAGAGTCGTGCAAGCTACTGAGGGTGGTGGTTTCTTTTTTTTTTCCATAGTGCTGAAGTCAGGTGCACTTTTTAATGATGAGCCAGAGTAAGTGGATACCTTCTGCTCAGCACAGAGCATTAAGCAGTTAAGAAGAGAGAGAAGGCTTGGATTTTCTCACTGCGTGTTGCAGTTTTTTTAGGGATTTTTATGGAACATTGGTTGGAAAGCAGAGCAATCTCTTTTTCAGAAGTTTTTTCTTCATTTCTTCAGAAAAACTTCCTAGTAAAAGGAGGTTTGGGGTTGTTTTTTCTAAGAAAGATTTTTATAAAAGGAAACCAATATTGGATTGTATTTTCCGACAATATTACAAGGGTGATCATTTGCAATGCATAATTTACAAAGTAAGTGATTTTCAACTTCTGTGTGTGTTGTCTTCATCATGTTGTGGAAGTATCATACTGTAACTAATTACCAGGTAGAGTTTTAATGGTCTTAAGATATATGAATTAAAGTATTTCGGTACCTCTCCAGGTTATATATGGAATGGGGAATAGCCTATCTGCCTTCTGTCTTTTCTTGCCTGCAGGCTAGACTAGTCTGAGCTGAGCACTAACCTGATTATACAAGTTTGTTGAGTCCTAAATTTGGCCACCAGTGAAAGTCTAGTGAAATAATTTTTCCTTAAAATCTTTATGTGATGGAATGAAATCTTACTGATCCCACATGAGACCTAAATGCAGCAAAGTTCTCTTCATAGGAAATCTTTGTTGCTTAATTTAAATAATTACCTTGGCAACTCAACTGTCTGGGTAACAGATGGGCTAAACCTTCAAGTCCAGTGTTTAGACTTGCATCTGGGATGATTGTGAGTATCCTATTTCATTTTGGAAATGAAAGGAATCTTTGGAACATGTCTACCTTAACTGAGAGAGCAGAGTCTACTTCAGAATGAATTTAAGCTTTTTAATGTACGAAGCAAAGTAGCATGCATCTTTTTGTGTATTCTGATACTCCAGATACACTGTTATATATTGAGGCTTGTCTGAAAGGGGTAACCTGCTGAGAGGCACAGACGATGTGGGGTGGGAGGGGGAAGGGAGGCAGGGATTAACATGTATGAAATATTTGGGAAGGATATAAATTGTGTTAATTTTTTTTAATTAATATTTCTGATATTTCTGAGATAGAGCACATTTCAATGTGTTCAACAGAAGTGGTGCTCCAGAATTTCTTATGATGCAGGCACAGATAGTTGCTACAGCTAGTCTTTGTCATGGTTATTTTTGGTCTCTGATTTTCTCCCCCCATAGATTATAGCAAGTATAAAACATTCACATTACTTTACATAGCATTCTGCTTTGGAGTTAATAGTCTGTTCTGTGCATGTTTCTTCCAAGAGGTGGGAGAGAGTTACAGTCACTGATGGGGGGAGTTAAGATGGAATATTTCTAAGTGAAAGGAGGATACTGATGACATAAAGTCAAGTGATGAAGGAGACACTGACAAGGGACTCTTAAAAACAATTAACTTGATAAATATCTCAGTGAGACTAAGGTAGAGAAACCATGTGAAAACGCAGACTAAATCTTTTTGTATCCTGACAGGCAGCAAAAACACTTTTGAAGATCTTGCTCAGTTTTGATTTTCTTCCATGTTTTCAGCAAATCTGCTAAGATTAAAATATTTGCTTTTTAGATTTCAAAATCAGTCAATCTAGATTGATTTGAACTGTGTTTTGTTACATAATGATAAGAGAGGAAGACATCTCTATAGTAAGCACGTTTTGTGTAATAATATCTACCCTATCAGACCTGTGTGCCCATTAAAATAATAGAAATCTGCACAGGTTAAAAACATAATGTGTATTTCATTATGTGGATATATATGTGTCTCTGTGTGGATGTTTGTCTAAAATGAGTGTGTAATGGACATGCACAAAGTCATGCTCTTTTCCCTTCTGCATCTTTAATATGTACGGTAGGTCTAGATACCTTTTAAAGCTTTTTTGAATGGTAAACTTCAGGCATCCAAGCAGGAGAATGCAGTTGAGATGTGACTGACCTGCTTCTAAAGGGAGCTGCCCTGTGTGTGTGTGCGTGTGTGCAAGAGCTACGTGCTGCAGCATATCAGCCTTTTGTCATCCTGCGAGGATTGGACTGTACCATGCTGCTAAGTCAGGAAAACGAGCCGGGAACACGGACGTGGAGAGTTCACTCGCTCCTTTTGTGTATAATACCAGGTTTATATTGCAGTTATGCTAACTGTAGGTTCTTTCCAAAACTGAAATTGTTTTAAGATTAATGTAGAGCAAAATGAGGAAGCAGGAGTGGTTTGGTGACATTATTTTGACATGATTGGCTGAGGATTATGATGTAATAGGTTACAGTGCAGCCCCTTATAGGTTTTAAAATTAATTCCAAGACACCATTACAAAGAAAGCTTGACTCTTTTCTTGTATCTGAGCTTACTCAGTGAAACTTATACAAATGTACAATACTGTTTGGAATATGGAAGAACTGGATGTAGAATATCCTAAGACAGATATAAGTTGTGGCACAGACTTGATGTTTTACATAGAAATGGATCCACCAGGTAAAACTGCAGTCTTATTATAGAAGACTTAATAATTTTAGTCTTTGCAATAGATGCTGGAAAATTGTTACTGGATATGTCGGATTTCTTTACTTTGTTATTGACACAAATATTATTTTTTTTCATAAATTAGAATGAAATTGTGGTTTAGTGCATGGTTGTAGTAATTAGCATCTTAACATATACCTGTCTGCTTATTTAATTGAATTTTTAATTAATTGACCTGTTTATAGTTTTTTTAAATTATATCAGAGGTAGTTCTAGTCCTACTACTATATCATTAAAAAAATTGTATTTATTTTATTATTATTTTTGCTGTCTCGGTTCCACACTGTGCCTGAAAGGAGATGCTGTAGTATCACTCTTGTTTCCTGAAATACTGATTACAAATCATTGGTTTGGACTGTTTAAGGAAAAATATTTTTAAAATTTAGCAATATTAATTGAATACCTGTTATAGCATCATTTTTTTATATTGTATGAAAATATTATGCTATCCTGACATTCACTGCAACTTTAAAAACATTGTCTTTTCAGTCTGGTCATATTATACAGGACAGGAATGATGTACTTACTGAAAGAGCTGAGTTGATTTTTGATGCTGATTCCAGTGTAGTCCCCCTTGTTACTAAATCAGTGCTGCAGTATCTTCTCTGGCACCCACTGGTATACGTATGCAGCTTTGACATTGAGAAAAGGGGGATGTGGTTTTTAATCAGTCCTGCCATTTGAACATAATTTATTCTGTAGAATAATAAGATTAACACAAGAGATATTTGGGTCACAGATGGGTTTCTTAAACTGTTGGTTTGGGGTTTTTTCCTTTTTTCTTTTGCATATCATTGCACAGAATGCTAAGGATCACAAAAACCCAGTTCTTTTTGAAATATACATTATTGCTGTGGGTTTGCATTTTTTATTACTCAGCTTCTAGGTAAGAAAGCAACAAAATTCATCTAAGATTATTACATAGGAGGATAAAAAATATTTGGCATGTTTCATTATTTGTGTTCACCTGAAGGTAGTGAAAGAAGGTAAAAGCAAAGTTCAGATTTTTTTTCTCAAATGCTTTCTTCACAGAGGGAGGAGGTGAGTTTAGTGTTGTATTTTGCTTATAATACATTATTACAAGAGTAACATAGTTTTTTGAAACAGTGCAACTTTATTTTGAATTATTTCGTTTTCAGTACAGTATCTTGATTCGTCTAATGTCTTTTAAAAACTGTTAGTGATGGACAACTCTGTTTGGTAACCAGTCCTTTTTTTTCCTCATTCATAGAATCATAGAATTCATGTAGTAACATGTGATTTCAAGGAATATATGGTCATGTTCTCAGTGTGTTATAATCAACTTTTTTCCCCCCTTTCATTTACAGCACTGCCTCCTAAGCCACCAAAACCTAATACCGTAACTAACAATAGCATGAATAACAACATGTCATTACAAGACGCAGAATGGTACTGGGGAGATATCTCAAGGTAAATCAGCTCAAGATATATATTTCTTATGCTTGGCTTGATCTTGCTGTGCTATTCTGTGTATATGTATTATGCTTCAGGTGTAAAAAAATTAGAGTTATAAGAATCATCTTTAGGATATTTTCCAGCACAAACATATTACAGCTGGTTTTATTGCAAACATGACTAAAAAGTTACTGGCAGTCAGTTAGAATGTAGTATGCAAAATGATTGTTCTGTTATTTTAAGATAGCTATATGAAAGACTAGCATGAAAGGACAGCACCAAGAAATAAATATTTTCTTCCTGTCTTTCATCCAAAACCTCAACTGTAGGCACAATAGTTAAGAAATCAGACTAACAAGTACCATATATTAGCAACATTTTTAACTGTACTATATATAGGTACGCTAGGCCAGCACTGGCTGCTCAAATTGTACAGGTTTGTATGAACAAGCAGAAAGACCTTTGCATGAATAATAATTTTGTCCAGCAGTGAGAGGACAGAGTATGCCATTTTTATATCCCAGTTTTCTCCAGCAACTTTAAATGAGCTATTGAGTAATTGTATTTATTAAAATGGAGATCTAGAAGGCTTCTAAAACCAACCTATTTTAAACCAGAAAAATTTAGAGTACAGTGAGAGAATAAATGCGTGAGAAGTAACTGAAATGATTGGTTACTTTTGCTTTCATTTTAGGGAAGAAGTAAATGAGAAGCTTCGAGACACTGCTGATGGTACCTTTTTGGTACGAGATGCTTCAACCAAAATGCATGGGGACTACACACTTACTCTAAGGTGAGATTAGTTAACGCTAGGTCTGTAATACTTGATAGTAAAATGCAATAACTGCATTTAACACACAGCGTGCTTTAGGAAATAGTACTTGAAGTATACCTAACTTTTCAACATACTGTATTTGCAGGAAAGGAGGAAATAACAAATTAATCAAAATTTTTCATCGAGATGGAAAATATGGTTTTTCTGACCCATTAACTTTCAACTCCGTGGTCGAGCTAATAAACCACTACCGGAATGAATCTCTAGCCCAGTATAATCCTAAACTGGATGTAAAATTACTGTATCCAGTATCTAAGTACCAGCAGGTAATTTAGTCTATTTTCTTTGTGTGTCGCTTAAATACTGAGAAATTACTGCAGACTGAGAAGTCATTTATCATGAAGAACTTCAGTTCTGTAAATGCGTGAAAAAATAAATTGGGTGTTAAACCTGATATTTTTGTTTAAAAACAACTCCACACTTTGCATGTAAATTTGAAAATTTAAATACTGTGGATACATTATTAAGAAATAAACATCTTAATAAGTATCTCACTCAGTGATAAAATATATAATTTTCAGTATAAAGCTAAACACTTGCAATACAAATTTTCTTTTTGTCATTAATTTCTCATTTGCGTATTATGCATTTAGTATTATCTCTCTATTGAAGAAACAGGAATCACATTTCCATGTAATTATCTAGGCATTTTTAAGTAGTTTTATCTGGAAAATCTCTGCAATACAATTGTTTCATTATGGAATATCTTTCCTTCTGCTCATTATTCCAGGATCAAGTTGTAAAAGAGGATAGCATTGAAGCAGTGGGAAAGAAATTACATGAATATAATACCCAGTTCCAAGAAAAAAGCAGAGAATATGACAGACTCTATGAAGACTACACAAGAACATCTCAGGTGAGCTAGATTTGAACCAAAGGGAGAGTGGAAGACTTTGTAGATTTTGAAGAATATTATTGTGAATTCATGCTGCCATCTTCCTACTCCTCCCCTCTGCCACCACTGCCAGTGCCCTGATATGCTTGCCTGGAATAGTACAATTGCTTGCTTGTGTTTGAACACCCATCACCTGTAAACTTAACTACCCTGTACCCAACTCTGACAACTCCATCCAAAGCAAGTACATAACTATCTGGATTTACCAGCACTTCTGCATACTGACCTCATCAAGCTGAGTTTTCAGGGCATGTTTGCCAGGAAGCATTGCATTTTATTATTAGTTTTTGAAAGGTCTGGTTTATGTATGCAGGATAGAGATGACATGTGTAGATACAGTGCAGGAATAAAAAGCTACCTCTGTCCTTCTTTCAACTTAATCAATTATTAGCCACATCTTGAAGTGCTAGTGAATTAGTGTGGTTTTTCAGATCCAGAATCAAGACTGCTTCTTAAAATGTGCAGGAAATGCACCTAAAAATAATTGAAGAAAAGTGGAGAACTTCTGGCAACTTTAACTTGAATGACTAAAGACTTGGCTATCAACTAGGTGTGTAGTGGCAGGATAGGCTAGATGACCTTGTGAGACCTGTTCAGGCCAGTATCTTACTCCTTTATTTCAGAAAGTCAGCTGTACCTCTAAGGACATTAGTTGGTACAAAGGGCAAAGGGTGCAGCCATACAGCTCTAAGCATCACAAATAAAATTTATTTATACAAAGCAAAGATTGTAACTGGTTCTTTTTCTAGCAGTTCCACTTTCTTGATAAACCTCATTATGGAAAGCCTATCATTTTAGCCTTTTGGACAAGCCTGTTGTCTCCATGTCATAAGGCTTTGAAGAATGCCTTTTTGGTAAAGGGATATTGAAGTCTTGTTTTACAACATACTGAAGTGTTTCTGTGCTAGAAGCCAATAAATTTTCCCCTTTGTCTGATATCAACTGTAAAAACAATTACTTTTTTTTCAGGAAATTCAAATGAAAAGAACAGCTATTGAGGCATTTAATGAAACAATAAAAATATTTGAAGAGCAGTGCCAAACACAAGAAAGATACAGTAAGGAGTACATTGAAAAATTTAAACGGGAAGGAAATGAAAAAGAAATACAGAGGTCAGTATTTGGTTTTGCATATCAAATTGTGTGGTTTTTGAAAAAACAAACTGCCAAGTATAGGTGTGCCTGAAACTGAAGCAAGATGACAAGTTTAAAGTTGTTCAGTTGTAAGCAAAGAAGGCTCAAATAGGGTAGATGTGAACTTGTGAAATATGTAGCTACATCTAGGGAAGTAATCTGTTCCCTTAAGTGTCTACACGTATAAATAGCAGATTATAAAGTTATGAGTAAGAGACCAGAGTTTAACCTACCACATTATTCTATCCAGAATTATGCACAACTATGAAAAACTGAAGTCTCGGATAAGTGAAATTGTGGACAGCAGGCGTAGATTAGAAGAAGATTTAAAGAAGCAAGCAGCTGAATATAGAGAGATAGACAAGCGTATGAACAGCATTAAGCCAGACCTCATACAGCTGAGGAAAACAAGAGATCAGTACTTGATGTGAGTATCATGAATTAACAAATTTGGTTTTAAATTGTGGTTTTTTTAATGGTATCCAACTTTTGTGACTAAAAATTAATTTTATTTACAATTATTGTCCAGGTGGCTGACTCAAAAAGGTGTTCGGCAAAAGAAGCTAAATGAATGGCTTGGAAATGAAAATGCAGAAGAGTAAGTATTGAAAGATTTAAATATTTCTGGTGTTTCAAATCATCTTACACAGAAGTGAGATAAAGCATATTTAATTCTTGGACCACACAGAGGAAATCTCAGGCCTACTAACAATGCACACTGTTAAGGCATGACAGCTTAGCTAATGCCAGTATTGGAAAGGATGCTGTCTCACCCTCTACTCTCCATTTTTTCAGGAAAGTGTATAAGCAAGTTACTATAGCAAAGCACTGAAATGTAACTTGTGTCTTTATTCTTACCAGCAAAATTAAGTTCATGAAGTGTTAGTATCTTAGAGAGACGCGACATGGATGGATAAATTGTTCAGAAGGTCTCTTAGGTATGAGCAGCCTTTTTCTGAATTTCAACTGTTGTTACCGTATTGTTATCTTCTATAGTGGTACCCACATAAGTGTATCACATTACTGTTGGAGATAATAAATTTGTATATACTGAGGAGTGGGCCTTCTCTGGTTTTGTGATTTATTTAATTTTTCTGGAAAATGGCAGAATAGTATTCTGTCATTTCAGGCAATTTAGTATACTATAGCTTCTGACAGGGGCTAGAGTATTTTGTGAATGTAGACCAGATTTTAACAAAAGCGGGACACAAAATAATATCTAAAGTAGTAACAGTGAAGAATGAACAAATGGAAAATCAAAGTTGTCTCAGTAATATGTGTATAAACATTTTCTACCTATGTAGTTTCTTGTGTGTGCCTTTTATGCTGCTTGGTTGAATATACAACAAAAGCAGCCTTATGGCAATGACTCTTCAGTGGTTTTACATTCTAGCCTTGTCCACATCTACTTTAATTT